GCCAACCCTCCTGGAATTAAAGATTAATCTCTAATAAACGATTATGTCATGTGATGAAATCTCCAGGAATACATCCAACCAAAATTGGCAACCCTACTGTGTGCACACATCCCGGAGTAACACAGCTTTCTGAAAGGGCAAGGAGAAGTTTTGTTAGGGAGAGAGAGAAGGGATTCTCATTACAAATCTAAAATTGCAACAGTTGTAGCTGGTGGTTTTCACAGCAAGAACTTCCACTGCTTAGAAACGCTTCATGATTATTTGGAGAAATGTTATACTTTTGGTGAGATATAATAAAATAAAAATAGAAGTAGAAAGCCCCAAGCACTAGAAAAATTTACAGCAAGTGTCTTCCCTAAAGGGTTTTGTTAGTAACCTGGTAGGCATACACAGTATCTACTTTTAATAACTACATATACGCAATCCTTAATGTTAATTAAATATTGTAATTATTTTTCTTTGAACCAAAGTTGATGCATTTTAAAGAGCAATATGACTGTAAAAATGACATTGTGGTGTTTTGTGCGTATCTTCATGACTTCTATATATTTTCTCACATTACTTGTAAATATGGATTTTCCAATTACAAAATTTGCAAATTCACCTTGCAATCTAAGAGTTAGATGGGTTCTTTTGAATTAATGCATCACCACCAGTATGTGTTTAAAAAAACTTGCTTTTCCACTTGTTAATTCTGTTACTCATGTACAAACAGAAAATAATCCAATTCACTCTCCTGTTGTGATGAGTGCCCCTCATACCAGTTATGCAGTGTTGCTAACAGCAATATAAGGGAAAAAACCATAAAAACTTATTTTATCACTGAAATAATAATTTAGTATGCAAAACTGTCTCAGAATTCATAGGTTTCAGAGTAGCAGCCATGTTAGTCTGTATTCGCAAAAAGAAAAGGAGTACTTGTGGCACCTTAGAGACTAACCAATTTATTTGAGCATAAGCTTTCGTGAGCTACAGCTCAAATAAATCTGTTAGTCTCTAAGGTGCCATAAGTACTCCTTTTCTTTTTTCAGAATTCATACTGATTTAAATATATTGCGTGTAGTGCAATTTTTGCGTAGTAATTTGTTTGATCATAACTGTCCTTTAAAGGGATGTTGTGCAGAGAAATTTCCTCTCCGACATAGGGTGCCATGCCTTTCAAACTTTCACAACATAATAATTGTAATCCAGGGCTTCTGTTTAAAATTTTCTGTGACTGGACAATTTTAGTTAGGTGACCATGTCTACAATAACAAGCTAGATGAATTGTCAGTTCAATGACAGATGAAAGTCTTTATTGGCAAATGCAAGGCAATCCATTTTAAAAGAAATCATTTGAACTATTATTTATTTCTGTGTTCTTAAATAGCTACATTGAAGAAATAAATCTTTACTCCTTGGGGGATTCTGTGGGACTGTGCACCCGCAGAAAAGCCCTCCCACCCCGCAGCTTTCCTGTGTTTCCCTGCAGGGGGTAGGAAGACGGGCAGGGGGTGACCATGGGTGCAGTTTTTTAGGGGGGGGATTGCCCATTCCCCACTCTATTTCCCCCTTTTTGCTTTTTCGAATGCAATTTGTCTGTATAGATTTCCCGTTATGCCAGCTCGCACAGTTTTCTGTCTGAATCACAAACAGCAACCAAAGTCCTCGCTGATGTGAGGCCTTCCCCCAGAGCTCCAACCACCATCCCCTGGGTCCCCCTCCCTCCTCCAACGAGCCTCTGTGCATCCAGATCTCCCACTGAGCTTCCCGCACCCCGATTGCCCCATACAGAAACCTCTCACCGCACACCTGGATTTCCCCACACTAAGACCTTCCACGTTGAATCCTGCTGGGCTGAGCCTGCCCACCCACACGTGGTCCACCTGGTGCAAAGGGTCAGGGCCCCGGGGTGTTTCTGGAGCAGGCCCAGCCCTTGCACTGTGTCAGGGTCAGGTGCATCCTCACTGCCGAGTCCCTGAACTTGGGGGGGGCTTCAGGGTGGTCTCCCACCTTAGTGTAGCCAATGGTCTGTGCTCCCCACTGCCGTTCTGGAGCCACATTTATTTATTGACAAATAAAATGTGCAGAATTTTAAAATATTATGGACATAATTTTTAATTTTGGCACATAATTTTAATTTTTTTGGTGCAGAATCCCCTCAGGAGTAAATCCTGAGAATCATTGTGGATAGCTTGATGAAGACCTCTGCTCAGTGTGAAATAGTGGTCCAAAAATTTTAGGATGTATAAAGAATAGGATAATACTGTATACTTTCCTATTCTATAAATTAGTAATAACATTCTCACCTTGAATGCTGTGTTCAGTTCTATTTCCTGTCTTGGAAAACATATAGCAAAAAAAGAAAGGGTCCAGAGGTGGGTGGGGGAAATTATTAGAGGCATGAAGAAACTTCCATATGAAGTGAAAATGAAAAGGTTAGGAATATGTTTAGTTCTGAGAAGATATAAATAAAAAGGAATATGGTTCTGGTATATGAACTAAAGAATGGCACAGAGAAGGCAAATCAAGTTCTTACTTTTTACGTAAAGAAAAAGCCAATAAAATTGAATGACAATAAACAGTGCTTCTAAAAGGAAATAACTTTTTACGCAATGTATGATGAACCTATAGAACTTACTGCTACAGGACTTCATTTTGTCTAAAGAGTTTAGCAGGATTTTTAAAAACTCTGTGTTAACAATAAGATCCACAGTTATAGTCTTTAAGGTGTGTGTGTGTGTGTGTGTGTATGTAGGTGTAGTTGAATATGTGTATATACATTGGGCTGTAGAGCATAAGGCAATCACTGACTTAATGGGGGTTAGGAAGAAATTTTCCACTGCGGGAATTTTCTACTTCCTCCAAAGTATCAATGACTGATTGCTGTCAATGTACTGTACTGGAGGAGCCACTTATCAGAGCTGGGATAGCTGTTGCTAACTTCCGGCACTGTTTGTTTGGGCTGTAGTATTTTCCATTGTGGGAATGCTCTCCTTAGTGATAGAGTGTCTGCTGTTCTCTTGTGTTAAGAAGGAAAACTGAAACTGATTCCCTAGGAATCAGTGGTTTCTTGGTATTTCTGCTGCTTGCTGTATTACCAGCCTGTATGTTTATGCCAATACTTTGTATTGGCTTAGATTTAGATTTCTAAAAATATTTGCAAGACCTCTGAAACGTGAGCTCCTACCACAGTGTTTCTGGAAAAAATATGAAACAAGTAAGTGGCATCCAGTGTGACTTAATGAGGAACTAAAAGGAAATCAAGAAAAAGGGGAACCAACTAAACAAGAAATTCTTAGCTATTTATGATATATACTGGGGTGGGCAAACTACGGCCCGTGGGCCGGATCCAGCCTGAGAGCTGTTTTAAGCCGGCGCGTGAGCTGCACCACGCAGCTTGGCCCTGCTCCGGTGCTCTGGCCAGGGCACTGGGTCTGGGGCCGCACCACGCGGTTCAGCCCCACTCCAGCCGGAGTGCTGGGTCGGGGGCCGCACCACCCCCTGAGCCTCTCCCCACACCCCAACCGCCTTCCCCAGCGCTGATCCCCCTCCTGCTCTCCAAACCCCTCAATCCCAGCCTGAGCACCCTCCTACACCCCAAACTCCTCACCCCCAACCCAGAGCCCGCACCCCCTTTTGCACCCCAACCCCAATTTTGTGAGCATTCATGGCCCGCCATATCATTTGGCCCTTGGGCCAAAATGTTTGCCCACCCCGATGTATATAGTGGCACAGGTATGCATTCGGTTTTACCTTTTCAACTTAAAAGCTGGTTTCATCATAGACTTGTAATTGCTTTATTAAATAGGACTTTTGAAAGGAGGACTTGCATTGAAGAATTAAAGTTCATAAACCTGAAGAGTGAAGTTCTAAGGTGATTTGAAAGAGAGAGATGCTGCTCAGCAACCCTTGAGGGTTTTCGCCTCCCTGGGTTTTTTTTGCCTTCCTCTGCAGTGTGGGGCACGGGTCACTTGCTGGAGGATTCTCTGCACGTTGAAGTCTTTAAACCACAATTTGAGGACTTCAGTAGCTCAGACATACATTACAGGAGAGCGTGGGTGAGATTCTGTGGCCTGCTTTGTGCAGGAGGTCAGACTAGATGATTATAATGGTCCCTTCTGACCTTAACATCTAGGAATCTATGAGTCTAGGTCAGGAATGTTGTTCACATTATCATCGGCGATCTCTCAAGGTGGAGGATGATCTCTTTCACAGATTATATTTTATAACCAGGACTTGAAAAATTTACAGCAATCCTATTAAAAGGGAGTAAACCTATTAGCCAGAGGTAAAAAGACCTACTGTTGTGGGATTGGGGGAGTCCAATACTTGACTTCTCCCAGACCCTTGGGAACTCTACTCTTCAGGGTAGAAGTTTTTGATGAGAGGGATTCAGCACCTTCTTCCAGAGGAAGTACTTCCAGAGTCCCAGTGTGGCTTCAGACCATCATGAGGCACAACTGACATGATTTTTGCAGCCAGGCAGATCCAGGAAAAATGTTAAGAACAACACCAGGAGCTGTATATGGCCTTTATCGATCAGACCAAAGCCTTTGACTCTGTCAACCGTGAGGCGCTGTGGAAAATCATGTCAAAATTTGGCTGCCCAACCAAATTTATCACCATTGTAAGATTCCTCCACACCCAGATGATTGCCTCCATCCTCTGCAGTGATTCTACCTCTGAGCCCTTTGCCATCCGAACTGGCATAAAACAAAGCTGTATACTGGCACCCACCCTTTTCTCCACTTTCTTAGCAGCTATGAAAACATTAACCCAAGACCATCTACCCCAGGGCATTGGTATCCAATATCAAATTGACAGCAACCTCTTCAACCTATCTCATCTCCGTGCCAGAACTATATTTTTCATGGGTTCTTAGGTGGCTAAGGAGTCCGATCCTTGAGCCACAGGCTCGTTGACAGACATTGCATGTGGTGTTGGAAGACTGGGTTGGGCCGCAATTGCTGTGTGACGGTTGTCTTTCCATTTTTTTTCTGGGGTTTTTCTGCTACCAGAGCAAGGTGATTTTCCTCAAAAGTGGACGTTCCCTCTCTGACAAGTCTTCGCCGGTTATCTGTATCCTGAGCTGCTGTCTCGCAGTATGTGGTGTCGATGCCACATCTCTTGATGTTTATCTTGAGAGTGTCTGTAAAGGGTTTCTTTTGGTCTCCACGTTTCCTTTCTGCTTCGGTGAGTTGGGCATACAGTAGTTGTTTTGGTAAACATACATCAGGCATGCTCACACAGTGCCCGCTCCACCTCAGCTGGTGCTGGATAATCAGGGCCTGAACACAGAAGATGTCCTCTGTGAAGACACTGACATTAGTGCGATGATTCTCCCACTTTATGTTGAGGTTCTGCCATAGAAAGTGCTGGTCCTGGCGTTCCAGGTTTTTCAGGTGTTTTCTATAGGTCCGCCAAGTCTCACAGCCGTAGAAGAGAGCTGGGATTACCACTGCTTTATAAACTAAAAGTCTAGTATGTGTTCTGATGTTGTGACTGTTGAACGCCCAGCGAGACAGTCTGCCAAAGGGAGTCTCTCTACGGACTACGGAATAATGTAGCTGAAGTCGACGTACTTAGATCTACTTACCATGGTGTCTTCATTGCTATGTGTAGACAGGAGAGCCTCTCCCGTTGAGTCCCCTTGTGCTTCTCGTTGAGCTGGAGTACTGGAGTCGACACTAGAGTGATTGGCGGTTGTCTATACTAGACACGATAAATCGACCCCCGCGAGATTGATCACTGCCCATCGATCCAGCCGGTAGTGTAGACAAGCTCTTAGATTTCAGAAGCTTTGCAGTAGAGAGAGGAAGGAAGTGAGAGGAAGGGAAGGAACTCTTGTCCTCCTCTTCACAATAGCTCTTTCACCTCCAAAAAAAATAACCTGAAATCACTGTTCTGGCAAATGGCCTGCAGGATGATTTCACAAGGGTTATGATTGTGTTGTAAATCATTAATATGATGGGAATTAGGGGTGAGCAAAGGGGCTAGGAGATCACATTGTGACTGACCTGTTTGCCATAGAAATAATTTTTGGCATGCTGCTGTGACCTCTTTTAGCTGGAAAAATGTTTATGAAAGTGCAATTCCTTCCGCTTTCAGCATTTTAAAAAGAGGATACCTGATCAGTGAAGAGCTTCAACTGCAGATTGCTACAGAAGTATGTGAGGATTTAATTTTCAAATAGATTGAATATAAATAATCTTTCAAAATTTGGGTTGCACAGTTGGATGTAATGAGATGTAAATAGGTAAAGAGAGCCTTGTGTGCTATTTGTGATAGTCCACATCCATCTAGTTGGCTTAGTTTTGAGAGAGAGAGAGAAAATCAACATTCTTTTTTTATCAACACTTTTTTAACCACCCCTAGGCTGTCTCTGTTGAGTTTTCCTAAAATCATTGATTGGCTGATTATCTTTGTAAATGCACCTATTTTCATTTGCATTTGAAGTCCTCTTCAGGTTTTATATCCTTTGTCTTTTCACTCATCTTCATGGTAAAAGTTAAGCAATAGACAATGAGATGTTTACAATGAAGAAGAAGCCATAAGTGTATATCCCATGGTAGTGCATGAACTCTGTGTATGAGGCTTTGAAACATTTAGAAACTTGCATCTGGTTTCCAAATCTGTGCACATGGACCAAATAACAGTTATGCTACTTGAAGTACAGGGAACATTCTACTAGTATTTATTAACTTTCTAATAACCCACAATGAAGTTTTCATGTTACTACTTCAACTTACTGGGGGGGGGTGTTTTTCTTTTTTCTTTTTTTAGGATCATCATTTTCTCCCTGTGTGTGGCAAGCTGCCTTCAGATAATGTACAATGGGGCTACAAATTCATTTTGTGGTTGACCCGCAGGGGTGGTGCTGCATGGGCATGATTATCTTCGTTTGGCTTTACAACACACTCTTTATTCCCCAAATTATCCTCTTTCCTCACTATGAAGAGGGACACACTTCAACTGCAGCGATATTGTGTAAGTTGCATTGAGCCCAATCTCTCCCTCTCCTATCTAGTAAAAAAAAAAGGTACCTGTGGGCAATAGCACCTACTCTGACCTATGTAGTATCAAGTTCCAGAATTCCGGGGAAGAAGGAGAGCAATCCAACAAAAACTGGTCTTAATGCTGATTCTTAAAAATCCAACTTCCTCCTTATTTTTGAAATACAATAAATCTGAAATAGCTTATTTTGGTATTACTTTAGATTAAAGCCTTAACTACAGACAGAGACATTCTAACTGTAATTGGGCTCTGACATACTCATTTGACACAGTTCAGTATGTCCATATATCTGCTTTTTTTCCCAACACCGCATGTGTGAATCCTGTGGCCAGTCTATACCTACAATCTGCATGAGTGTATATCAGTATCAGGAAAAGCTGAGCAGGTATACCATATATCCTATATTTGCATCAGCAGCTGATGCTGGGAGAGGGGATTGTGGGTGTATTTGGGTATATTTTCACTGCAGTTAAGTTTTCTACACTTGAACTACTCCTCTAAAGTTAGCCTCGTGCTGGTGAGAGCAGCTACACTTTGAAATAACATTCAAGCTGCTGCGTACACACTGGCACAGCACTCACTCGTGTGTGGCACTTAAGGCTTCGGGGGCACATCTAGGGTTGCCAACTCTCCAGGATTGATCTGGAGTCTCCCGGAATCCGCATCGATCTCCTGGTGACTATTGAAAACAGTCTAATTTTAATAGGATATTTTAAGCAAATGACATTGTCATGTTGGGAGAAAAAAAAAATCTGGAATAGCTTCAGTCAGAGTTGGCAACCCTAGGCACATCCCATAGTTCTTTGAAGTGCAGTAAACTGAGCTTTTCTACAAATTATTTCCCAGTGAATTGTAAGAGAATTTCCCTGTCCCATCTGGGGACATGGTAGAATTGTGGAAAGGCATTGGAGGACTAGCAGCAATCAGGTGGAGCTAGCCTGCATCAACACGGCAGAGGGGTCATGTTAGCAGTTAATGAGTTGGGCTAACTCAGGCTGGCTATATGAGGAGAATGTCACTGGGACAAGGAGCCAGGGATGGGGAAGAGAGAGGACTTGGACAGTGACAGGTTGGAAGGGATGGGGAAGAAGACGTCAAGCTTTGAGGGCAGAGGGGGGTATAGGAAGAAGAGTCTGTGTCCACTAAAGCACACTCCCCTCTAGAGACTGGAATGGGACTCAGGATTCCTGAATTTCACTGTTCCTCTGAAGTCAACAAATATCTGTGGAAACCCATGGGCAAAGTGATTCATTCAGTGCCCATGATGGGTTGTGTAAAGAGGCTGTGGGCCGTCAGAGCCCAGCTTCATTTGCTGCAGAAATTGGAAGGTGTGTAGGGAATGAAGCAGGGGACTTCAGGAAGAGAAAAGTGCTATATAATGCTAAATACTCTGAAAAATCAGGTCCTAGGTGTCTCTGTTTGGACACCCAAAATTAGTGGATACTTTTGACCTTAATTTCTCTATATCTCAGTTCCTCATCTGTAAAATGGGTATAATACCCCTATATCTCACCGGTGTCATGAAAATAAATTAATGTTTGTGATGCACTTATATGCCATAATGATGAGCACCATTAGAAAAACTGATGAGGAAGCTAATAATTCTGTCTTTGTAGCAGTGTTTGAATATGTGCAGTAAATGAGGCATGCGTCCACATATTGAACAACAAGGAGAAAACAAAATATTAAGTAGCTGCTCATTCAATGAGCACTGTCCATTTTGTGTGCTGAATGAGGCAGCAGTCCTGTGGAAAACATTTAATGCAATCATGTAATAAAAGCCTATCATAATGCTTATGTACAAAGAGCCCAATTAGATGTGCATAGGCAACCTTAATTGTGGTATTTCCTAACCTTTGTGTGTTTGACTTTGCAATCTTAATATGTTCTTTTAAGGTTGTTTTTATGTGTAATATATGTATGAAATATTTATATGCATAAACGGAATGCTGGGTTACATGTGTTAATTAAGCTATGTTAGTTTAAATCAGATTTACTTTTCAAATATGCCAATTATTGCAGCTTCTTTTATTCTGCAATTTTCTGTTGTCTTGCCTCATTCCTATAAAGTAATCTTTTGCTGTGCTGGAACTATTAAAATGTGACCCATTACTGCATGCAATCTTTGGCCAAAGATGTACTTGATGTAATATTCTGAAAACTTGCGTATTTATTTTTCAGGCTACTACTTAGTCTCATTGTTCTGTATAGTTTCATTATTGAGAGCCTCCATAGCTGATCCAGGAAAACTCCCTGAAACACCAAAGATACCACTTACAGGTACTATATTGCAAGATGTTTCTAAATAATACAATGTTGGTTGCTTTGCATAATCTCTAATATTAGTTTTAATAGCTGTTGGAAGCTTACTAGCCTTGTTTGCAACCACTCCCTTGAAAACCAAACAGGGTTTGGAAAATCTAGTGTTGGTGCTGTTGTGATAGAGGTTAGCAAGGTCATACGCTGTGTTGCAAGGGCATGTGATCAAGAGCAACCCAAGTAACTGTTTATGCTACTCCATCAATCCGCATAGCCCATTAGCGGGAAGGGATACCTGGTGATGTAGGCCTCAGTGTATCACTACGGGAGATTTTTGGACATCAAGATCAGCTGATTTGGAAAAACGCAAGTGAGGACTTTTTAAAAACGTAACTCTTCCTCAGAGGCCAAAGTGGAACTCTTCTCTCTAGTAATATGACACTAATGGTGTTGTGGCATTAATGTTGTTGGAAATATATGGCCCCAAGAGTTAAAGGTGTTAACTTGACCCTGAAACTGTCCAACATTAAGCAGTTTTAAACACGGTTTGGTATACAGAGACCTTTGTCTGCTTAGTACTGTGGCAAACTCACCATTAAAAATCCTTTAAAACTTTTTATTAAAGAAAAAGAAGGACAAACAGTTAAAGCATTTGAAATGTGAAGTATTAAGTAAGGCTGTCATTTTTAACATTTCGTATTGCATTTTACTTTGGCCATGGAGAGTTTTTAGAAGGAAACAACCCCTTTTTTGTCAACCTCTTAAATGGTATTAAAGATGTTAATAAGGTCCTTTTGAGGAAAAGAAAAGAAGTTAGTTGAGATGGGCTAGAGCTGCTGTTGCTGAAGTCTGATCCCGTTTCCTAGAAAACAAAACAAGACGCACACAAAAGGAGAGAGATAAAAAGAGCAAAGATGGAGCTTCAGTCTGTGGCGTTGACTCTCACTTGCAACTTCACTGCTGAAGAAACACAGGCATGGCACATGGTTTTATGAGCAACTCTGAGATCTAGTAAACTTGTTCTACCATTGGTCTGTTTGCGGCATTGCTTTCAGCTTCCTCTTTCTGGTCACAGGCTTGCAAAATATACAGTCTTGGCTGGTTAAGACAGACTTTTGTTAGGCAGAAATTAAAATAAGAGAGATAGGAAAGAGAAGAAACAAAATGGGGAAGGAAAAGGACACATTGGGGGAGGCAGGGTGGCAAAGTCTCACATCCCAGGTGATAGGCCAGATTTAACTGGAGGTGGTTATGTCATCTGGCTCCCTCTCTCTAGCCTGGTCAGGACATATCTCAGGATTAGGTAGAAATTTCTGGGGTCCCAGAAGATGATGGGGATGGCAGGCAATGATGGTAAAGCTTGTTCATTCACTTTCTCTGCCTCAGGGTGCTGTTGCTCATGCTCCTGGATCTGTTCGTGACTGGTAGGGGCTGCCACTTCTTCTCCGGATTTGGGCTCTCCTGATTGTCAGAGGTCTTGTCATTGTCTTGTCTCTAAGAGCTCTGCTGCTGTCCAGTCCCATGTTTAGCTTATTGGTGGGATCTTTGCTAAATATCATGTCCAGTTCCTCATGGAATGGATAAGTAGTCTACCTGGCACTGGACTTGCAGGTTGCTATCTTTGGTTTCCTGGTATGTTTGCTTTAAGTCTTAGCCTTTCTGCTGGCATTGGGCTTCAGACCTCTAAATGCCATACTTCCCAACTGAGTGTGTACCATCATCACCACCCTTTTCCTTAGTGGGAGGAAGGTATAGTTGTTCTTAGCCCAGGCAGCATGCTGAGACATTGCAGTCATGTCCTGCAACTGAGAGTCTAGTTCATTCTCCATGCCTTATTCATTTAGTGAGCTCTGCGGATACAGCTGACAACTGGGCAATTAGGGACAATTGTGATCATGTTTTTGCATCTAGTCCCATTAGTGACAGGACTGAGACCAAAAAATCGTATTTAAGCTTCACTTCAGCTCTATGGTATTGTGTAGGTTGATATGGTGAAATACATTTTTTGCGTAGTATAACTTGTATTTGAAAACTAGCTTCGGGTGTTTCTGAGCCCCCTGTTAACAGTAGCTGTCTTATTAAAGAGTGACACCTTTGTGACACTGGCTTTATGGGAACAGATTGTAAATCAGTTTCCATCTCTCATTATTACTAGTTCAGTGATCTTGGGTATTGGGCTTCGGTACTTCCAGGGTGAAAATATCATTTTTCTGCAAAATGGGAAAGATGGGAGCTGCCAGCAGGAGGCTCAAAAAGTGCCAAATTGAATTTTAAAATGTGTTCCATACATCACTGATTATAGTGAAAAGCATTTCCTCATGTAAACTTTCAGAATGTGTTGCAATGAAAACTGGTGTAGCTTTCCTTTTATAAGTTTTGATTTTTCTCAGATTAAAAATAAAAAGGATGATGGCACTTGTTACAAATAGAAATTATAGACTAATGATTTTGGACTTATTCCATAACACCTTTACTGCACTCCTTTAAAAAAAAAATTAAGTAAAATACATTTTAAATGATTGACAGCACTAAGGTGTCAGTGTGTTTTCATCCTAGAAACAATGCGATCTTCGCCAACTCTCTGAGCCTAAATTTTCAAAAGTGTCCACTGGTTTTAGATAGCCAACTTGAGGCAAATAAGACCTGTATTTTCAGAAATGCTAGCAATATTAGCTCATGTTAACTTCAGCTGGAGTTGTGGGAGCTCAGTACCTCTGAAAGTCAGTCCCTACGTATCTCAAGTTTAGCTCCCAAACTTAGTATACACCTTCTCTGTCCTCCAGGTTCCTCATCCATAAAATTCCTACTTGTTGGATGTTATGATATTTGTTTAATGTTTAAAGCACTTTGAGATCCTGCAGTGGAAGACCTTTCATAAATCTATTTTGTATTTTATTATTTTACTGGTCAGTTCTTTTGGATTGAGCTGGGGATGGCAGTGGGATTTGATACTCTGGCTGAGCTTTAGAGCTGACACTGTTGGTGATATGTGCTAGAAAAAAAGCAATCCAAGTGGAACTGAGAATAGTTTTAGAAACACAAAAATTCTTTATTTCCCAGTTCTTGCCTTGTTCCTAGCCAGCAGTTTCATGTTGTATTGACGACTCTGAAAAATAGTAGGGCAAGATGGGGATTAGGAGTAAAAATCAGCCCACAATGGTAGAGGTATGCCAACTATCCTAGAGCAGTTGAAAGAAGAGTGGGGGAGAGGTTCTTGCATGCTGATTTCTGTAGGAAGAATATATTTTTTCCAGAAGCTCAAGCATGTGTACCCGTTGAGATCTGAAAACTAGTGGCACTTCAGCGGACATTCATTTTTATTTAATTTGGTTTCAATTTTCTCTCTAGAACGAGAATTTTGGGAGCTATGTAATAAATGTAATATGATGAGACCAAAGCGATCCCATCACTGCAGTCGCTGTGGACACTGTGTTAGGAGGATGGATCACCACTGTCCGTGGTAAGACTGGATCCATTGACGCAATAAGTTCTTGCTGCACAGAAACTTTCATTATTTACTGTTTGTTTAAATGCAGTTTTTTGATCAGGGTACTTTTACTACAGTACAATTCTTATTGAAGCATTCTCTTTCTGACCGTAAGACTTCATCATTAAAGGTATCTAATGCAGGAGGGTAGATAGGATTTTCATTGAGATGTGCCTGTGCCTATGCAATCAAACATTGATAGTGAGAATTGTTTGCTATATAACATATAATCATTACTGTTTTGTCATGTTGCTGGATGCCAGTATGAGATGCTCCTGGAACTTTCACAAATTTTGATGAAAGAAATGTTTAATGTTGGGAAATGCAACTTTAAAAAACAAAATTGCTAGAGCTGAGCAGCTTCAATGTAAAAATCAGATAATCACAATTTAGTTTTGTGAGATGGTGAGATAATTTGCTTTCAAATAAATGAAATATAAAAGCTTGTTTTGCATTTTCTCATGTTGGTGCTACAAATTAAAAGTTTAAAGTGCCAGGGGATGACTTTAAAAAAAAAAACCAAAAAAAAACCCAAAACAGTTTGAATATTTTGTGGTGGTAGTTAATTTGTTAGATTTCTGTGGGCTTGCTCCAATTCTCATTAGAGTCAATATATGGATTAGGCTGTGTCTTAACTAGAAACACTGCAGCACTTCAGTGGGGACGCTCCTTATCCATATATTGACTATAATGAGTCTCCTGTCACTGTAGTTAATCCACCTCCCCGAGAGGCAGTATTCTTCTGTCAACCTGATGATGTCTGCTCTGGGAGTTAGGAGAGCTTGACTACATTGCTTAAATGTGTGGATTTTTCACACCCCTTTGCAACATAGCTGAGGCAACCTAACTTTTTGGTGTCGATCTGGCCATAGAAGCTTGTCTACACTAGAAAGTCTCTCTCTTTAACTGATCGGTATAGTTAAAGCAGCAACCCCTCTTCCCACCCTCTATTGTTGATGCAGTTATACCAATAGAAAAGTACTTCTACCCAGGGGCATAGCCGTGGCCCACCCACTTACCATCCAGGCCCACCCAAATGGCTTCTGGACCCCGCTGGTGGGCGGAGCAGGGCAAGCCCCTGGAGCGGGCTAAGCCTCCGTGCCCAGACCCCACAGACAAACAGCCAGAGCGGGGCAAGCCCCCACGCCTGGACCCCGCTCCCTGATGGGAGTGACAGACAAACGAGTAGAGCAGGGCAAGCCCCCTTACCTGGACCCTGCTCCCTGGCGGGAGCATGCAGGGACTGCAGGTGGAAGAGGTGGGGAGGGGAGGGACCCCCAATTGTCTTGGCCCAGGCCCCACAAAACCATAACCCCCATGGGGGCACGTTGCCCCCCATCATTGCTCGCCCACCCAAAAGCCCACCCAGTTTTCCTAGCTTAGCTACACCACTGCTTCTACCACTATAACTTCTTTCTGGTTTGGGAAGTAAAATAAACTATATTGGTGTACGGCACCTTTTATACCAGTATAACTGTATCTATACTAGTCTTTGTACCAGTATAATTAAAAAGCAAATCACACTCCTAACTGATATATTTATACCAGTAAAACTTTTGTAGCGTAGATTGTTGAAAGTGTTAATTAGGAAAGTTGAAATATCTGAACTGTCAGGATTGTTTGACACTGTTTTAATAAGGAAGTTGGGGTATATTCTTGTTTTGTTGGGTGCCACACCTTCTCTTTCCTCCAACTTTTCTCTTGCATATTTGAGATTTTTTTTTTTTCTGTCTGGGGACTGCTCCCTGATCATAAGGCAGTTAAACCATAGTTTCCAGCATTTATCGATATGTATAGTATTTGCATTCCCAATTTTCCACTTTCTGAATTGAATTTATGTAAATTTATATAGAAAAAAGTCAATTTTGTATCACTTTAGATTGTAATCTGTGTTAGTAAGTGGTAGAAAAATATGAATTGCTGTGACATTTTTGCAGGCTGTTTTATAATTTTGAAATGTTTTTACAATTGCGTGGGATTATCTTTGGTGTTTAAGGCAAAAAGAGATTTTTTTTCCATTTTGAGTCTCTTCAGAAGACGCATGTACAATTCTACATTATCAGTGTATGTAGTAACGTGAAATATGAACATAATCAACTAATACAATTCTGTACTTTTGAGAAACAACCAAAACTCGTTTTTTGGTTTTTTTTGTTGTTTTAATGCTCTCAAATCCTGATCAGGATCAGGGCCCCCTTATGCTAGGTGCTGTACAAACAGAAAGGTAAACATGTTTCCTGCCCTGAAGAGCTTACCCTTAAATTTGTATTTTAACAGAAAGAAAAGGAGTACTTGTGGCACCTTTGAGACTAACCAATTTATTTGAGCATAAGCTGTAGCTCATGAAAGCTTATGCTCAAATAAATTGGTTAGTCTCTAAGGTGCCACAAGTACTCCTTTTCTTTTTGCAAATACAGACTAACACGGCTGTTACTCTGAAACCTATTTTAACAGAGAAATTCCAGTCTTGCATCCTATGCACCAAATGAAAATGCAGGCAAATTTTTAACGACAGTAGGGTTGCTATTGCTTTAATAGAGAAGGCACATCATTCTGCAGAATGGATGCTGCGGGTATTCAGTTGTAGTTGCATATGGCCTATACGTTACTGTATCCAGCAATGCATTTATAAATAAGTTAAGTTGTTTTGTCTTTGGTACGTATCATGCCTAACTATAACATTTCAAAAGCCTTGTGTATTTGCTTTGTTTTGTTGCAGGATTAACAATTGTGTTGGTGAAGACAATCATTGGCTGTTTCTGCAGCTATGCTTCTACACTCAGCTTCTTAGTTCCTATACATTGATACTTGATTTCTGCCACTATTATTATTTTCTGCCCCTGAAAAAAGTTAACTGGGTAAGAATCTTATCCTTACATAAAATAGGGTAAATATTTAATATTGCAATTGTAATGCAATTTATTCTGAAATCTAAAAGCCAAAAAATTTCTACTGTTTTATATACACATGATGATGAATACTAGAGTAGGGAAAATCAAGGCTGATATTACAAATGGGCAAATACTCTCCTGGTAAGTAAAGGAATGACAATTGTAAAGAGGAGCAGATTTTCTCCTAAATACAAACAAGATTTTAGTTGTGATGGAAGCCTTGTAAAACAGGGAGAAAAACAATTAGACTTCTTTAAAAGTGATCTGCAAATGTTAAATTTTTTTTTTTTCCTGAGTAACTTCTGAGTTTGTTGAAATGCCTCTCCTACACCTGTTACGTGGGGGAGTCCATGCATAAGATAATTTACTTAATATGTACCTTTTCCATCCAAAGTACCTGACGTGAAAACTTAAAATTTTATTATCTTATTTTGTATCCTAAATGGTAAAACATAAGAATATCAAACGTTCTGAAAAAGGCACAGTACCAGAAAAGAATGGGGCTTATCTTTATAAGCATCTTGTATACTTCCATTTTGATCTATGGTGATGTGATGTCCTTAGTGAAGTACATGCAGAGGTGAAGCATCAGATAGCAGCTGGCAAATATGGGGAGCTGTACTCTTTGGACATGCAAGAAGGGGTAAAATGTGCTAAGCGTAAGTTATTAACATGTTGAAATGCCCCTCTTACTGCTGGGGACATTCAGTACTTTCTACTGAAATTTTTTGATTTTTTTTGCAGATCACTTTGAAAATATTTTGCCTTATTTATAATATAGTTATGGGTGTTCTCTCAAAATAGATTTTCAGTCTTAAACTAAATTAATCAAATTGGATTTTCTGTCACAGACATGAATACACTTGTTTAAGTTCAAATGCTTTAAAATTCTTAAAGTTTCAGTGCTTATATGGAGCTAGTTACTTGTCTCCTCCTCTCATATAGCCTTGTTTCTGGATAGTAGATGCTTTTCTAAATGAATAAAACACATTCCCTAAAATGTAGACTGCTTCGAGAATATCTCCAGTTTTACTGGGTCACTTCATTATCTGTAAAATGAGTTTAATGCTTAGCTATCTGACACTCACTTAAGGCCTCATACATACAGAATTCCCATTGACTTCAGAGAGAATGCTGTATAATCATACGAACTGCAGAATTGGCCCTTACAATGTAGTAAAGTGAATTTATTTTCCTAAGATAAAATCTTTGAATGGTGCAGACAATTGACTCTTGACATGTATCTGACAATGTATTTTAATGGTTTTGAGTATATCCTCCATATTTATAGGAGCCCTTTAAATGCTGTTGTCAAAATGTTTTAATGTAATTATTTAATTTCCTTTAAGTAATTGCATTCTACTTAGTTGATTTACTCAAATCTTGGATTTTCAGCTTTGCTTTTTAAAGGAAAACGATTTGTTTTTTGGGGTGAGGCGACGTAATGGGAAATTACGTAAATTTTGCCATGTTCAGGCCTCCCAACACTGACAGTATAACTTTTAAGAATTATCTATCTTAAAATGAGTAGATCTCTCTCTTTATTTTAGTTTTCTAAGAATTATATTATCAAATGCGTGGGTAGTTCAGTATATTAAATATATTAATAAATTCCAATCTGTTTTTTTCTGCACATGAATGGAAACATGTTTATCCTTAATATTTATGCATCTATATACAGTCAATGTGGCAGATGAGGAGCAGACTTATATAGACAGACGGTACAATAACCATAGTCTAGTTTCATGTGATTGCCTAAATAACACATCCAGATCCCACGTTTAGGGTCTTAAATCATCAAAGAGCCTCAAAAAAGCGTGTTTTTACTCACCCGTGTGCCGAATAAAGTGCCCAGATGTGGAATCAGGATATTTATCAGGCACGTACTTTTTAAAAATTGAGTCCCTGGTACAGTATGTTGTGTCATACAGTACAAAGAAGTAAACAAATAGACATTTTGTGTACATTTGTTTAATAGAGACTGCAGGTGTCGCCTGTTACTAATTGTTTCAGATTTGCTTTCAGAAGGCTAGTATTGAGCTGATAGTCTTTACCTCTTCTTTGTTTTTCATCTGCAGGATTGGTGGCTGAAATTAAAGAAAGGAAAAATAAATATAATTTGTTTGGGAATCCAGCCAATATTTCAGCTTGGAAGATGACATCAGAGTCCCATTTGATTGATTTCTGATTGTTAGGTCCCAACCAATTCATGGTCCATTTTGTTCAATTTCATGGTGATTGGATTTTAAAAATTGTAAATTTCGTGATTTCAGATATTTAAATCTGAAATTTCACAGTGTTGTAACTGTAGTGGTCCTGACCCAGCTCTGAAGGCAGCAGTGCAGAAGTAAGGGTGGCATGGTATGGTATTTTTACCCTTACTTCTGCGCTGCTGCAGGTGGGGCACTGCCTTCAGAACTGGGCACCTGGTGTGCAGCCACCGCTCTCTGGCCACCCAGCTCTGAAGCACAGAAGTAAGGATGACAATACTGAGACACACCAACGCACACAATAACCTTGCAATCCTCCCCCCTTTCTTTTGGGGAGGGAGCCCCATTTTGAGAAACGCTGGTCTCCCCATGAAATCTGTATAGTATAGATAGGTTAAAAGTACACAAGAGACCAGATTTCATGGGGGAGACCAGATTTCACAGTCTGTAACACATTTTTCATGGCCGCGAATTTGGTAGGGCCCTACTGATAGTGTTGCTGAGGACTTCAGGTCACATAACAGTGTGCCACATAATCATACATCCATCCCTTTGGGCACCAGAAGAACAGGAACATCAAGAGTACTTGGTCACAATTAGTTAGGAATTTAAGAAAACCACTTGCAAAATTCTTTTAATCTTCCCACACAAATTAACCTTGAAATGCCACAGTAATCCAGAGACCTGAGCGTATTCTACCTTTCTCAGGAGTGCCATTCTTTGTAGAAATTCTGGTTTTAATCAAGAGGTTTCATTTCTTTCATCTGTAAGGGCATGTATTTACCATGAAATCCAAACAGTGGATACATTTTAAAAAATTGGCCATCTGGAATTAGTTTTCTCCTGGCTCATTAAGAATACTTGTGAAATTTTTGGCTACATGCCTTCACTTTGTTTTATTTTTATTCTTTGGTATACATGGTACAAAAACATAAGATTGGGATGAAAATAAAGCTGTTTTAATAGTATAGAAGAACACAATACTATGTAGTATTTTGTTAGTATAATATGAAAATATGCTCAGTGTGTACCTCAGCACTTTGTATATATTATACCAGCCTCACTATATTTTTAAATTTTGTGTCCAATGCATAACCTCCATTTTTATTTTTATGATTTTAGAAACCAAACCAAAAACAGATTTCACTTCAGTTTATTAAGCGGGGCAGTAGTTGGAATAGTTCAAGAAGCCACCTACTTGAATAGAAATATGAAATTGTAGTATGATACCACCAAAGTCACTTCCTTTAAGTACATAGTCAGTTTATTACGTAGCATGTTTGGCTCTTTGTAGCCTGAGTGGTGTCTGAATGACAGATTGCAATTATTGCTTCTGTTTGTCCAGTAGGAGGAGTACTATTACTGCTGAAACTGAAGAACAACTGAATATAGGAAAGAAATGAAAACAGTGTTGACTTCTATGCAAGACCCTTGCAGGAAGCATCATCTAATTCAAATAAGACAGTGATCAAATTCCTCAGCTAGCTCTGATGATTTGCAAAAGATAGAAAACTCTAATCTTCCTAGTTTTGTATTTTCTTTAAATTATCGAATTTAATAAATCCATGATTTCTAGGAAAGATTTCGACTCCCAAAGTAGCAAGAAGAGAGGAATGAAAACCATCTCTCTTTCCAGGTTGACTTGTACTGGAGAAAAATGTTTTTGTCTTAAAAGCCTTTCCTGCTGTTACTCCTCCTTGTCTCTCCTGCACTCCACCTCCTGCAATGTTTAGTGGTTCTAGAGTAGAGTATGGTAGTGGTGTAGTAGGATTTGCCCGACATTACAGCTTTCCAGAGTATAGCCTCCGAAGAGGAAAAATGGAAGACATCGTTTACATAAAATACAAATATTTTTTAGAAGTAAAAGACAAGATTCATGCGCCACATGTATGAGAAGGAGCATAGTTTTGTGGTTAGAAAACTGTAATGGGCATTTAGAGACCTGGATTCTATTCCCAGGTCTGCTACTGACTTCCTGTGTGATCTTAAGCAACTCTGTGGAGAATTAGTGTGTGGCAAGCTGCAATGTAAATCTACAGCTTGCTAGGATGCCATGCACTAACTGACCATGTGGATCCTGCTACCGTGCACTGAAAGTTCCCTAGTGCACTTTTATCTACTCCACTTCGAAATGAGAGTAGGGTCGGTGTGCACTATGGAATTTTTAGTGCATGGTAAGCAGGGTCTATATGGCTAGTTCTTGTGTGATACATTAGGGAGCTGTAGATTACACCCTAGCTTGCTGTGCACTAACTCTCCATCGATAAGCCCTAAGTGTGACTTAGGGCTTGGGTACATTTGTGAGTTAGAGCGCATTAAAGCAGCCCCAGGCGCTCTAGCTCACTACCCGTCCACACTGGCAAGGCATGTAGAGCGCTCTGACTCCACGGCTAGAGCGCTCCTGGTACTCCACCTCAGCGAGAAGATTAACACATGGTGCGCCTTGGCTGAAACGCCCGGGCGTCAGTTTGAATGAGGTGTTGCATTACTGCGCTCTGATCAGCCTCTGGAAACATGTCCCATAATCCCCTTAAGTCAAGTGGCCACTCTTGTCATTGTTTTGGAATCGCTGCAGGAATGCGGATATGCCCTTTGAAAGCTCCATTTCTGACAACCAGCATGCTTATCTGCTCAGAGACAAAGCAAACCATTACTGTGGAATGCTGTGTGTGTGTGTGTGAGAGAGAGAGGGGCAGGGGGTGGAGGGGTCTGCTGCTGTCTGAACTTACAAAACAGCATGCTGACATGCTCTCAGCC